GAAACCCTTCGAAAACGCGAAAAAAGGACTGGTTTTTCGGGGCTTTCCACGTCCCCCTGGTCTGGGCGCCTTCCGGGGCCCAGGCTCAAGGATTGGGTGCTTTTGATACAACAAAAGGAAGGGCCGCAAATGCGAATTAGGGACCGAAATCTCGGATAGCTGTGCTAGTCCGTCGTTTAGGTATATTCGAGCCGTTTTCGCGGCTCCCCACCGTCCTTGGACTAGAAGGCGGTCGAAGCTTCCGTGGTGCTGGAAGAAAAAAGTCGCCCCTCCCCTCCGAAGGGAGTAGGGTCGGTAAGCAAACTCTTGGAGTTTGAGGCCTTCGATGGCGCGGTTAAAAAGATTGCGCCAGGCATGAGGTTTGCTTGTGAGGAAGTCATGTGGCTTTGCTTGGCATTTCCAACGGTAGAGGCTTGGAATCACAGAAGAGTCATGAATGGTAATGCTTTCCGCAGCCCCCTGGCGGGCACCTGACTTGGTCAAGCCCAGGGAAATGACCGCCGGTCCTTTCGGCGTATTCAGGTAGATATCTTTGGCACGTAAACTTAAAAGTTCGCCTGTGCGCAGAAGACCAAAAAAGGCAACACGCAGGGACAAGCCAAACTCCGGGCAGTCTTGCATCACGCTCCATCCACACAAGGCATTCAGCAGAGACAACGTTAAAGGGGGTGCCCTGTTTGGAATTTCGGCAGAGTTCCAAGCTTTCATCAGCCTCCAGCTGCCGGGCAACTTCTTCTTTAGGCTGGGCTCATAGTCCTGAAGGGCAGCAAGCGCATTGTTTGCCACTGACTTTCCTTCTCCTGATGCCCAGAGGAACTCGAGGTAGTCTGAGACAACGTTATCCATCTGGGAGGCTTGGGTGGGAAGCCGAAGACCCTCCCTTGTCAACCAATCAAGGAACTGTCGCAAAGCGTGGTCATATCGATGTCGGGTACGTGGCTGTACTGTGAGGTCTTTCAACTTTCCTAAACTCTTGCGCACTTTTTGTCGTTGTTGTTTGCTGCGGCCTTCAACTATCTTCTTCGTGCTTTTAGCCATCCCTTCCGTACCGGCCGGCGGGACGGTCGGTCCGCCGGGTTTTGCTTTGTATCAATGTAGCCCCAGGCTACATGGAGCCCGCTAGCCAACAACAACGCACTAATTTTGGCAAGAGTCCTTCGAAGTTTCCGACTACTCGACCTTCCACGCGACAACGCATGCAACACGACCAGCGAGTCGACGAGATGCAAGCACTTGCTTCCATGCTCCTGAAGTTCCTTGATCCGCCACACTATTGAGGTCTTGACTGCGCGGAGCTCTAGGGCGTTGATGTGCTCCTTCTCACCTGTCCAGCTCCAGCCAACAACATCACGCCATCGCCAAAGCTTGCCGGGGATGGACGCCCTTAGGCGATGATACCGAGCGGGAATGTCTGTGGATAATTGCAACAGGATGTCTTCACCTTTGACTGAGACCTGTCCCAGGAGCTTCCGCACCAGCCCATGGGTCTCTTGTCCGGGGGCAGTAGTGTGCCGCAGGGGCGGACGCATCAACAAACCAGCCATGTTGGGGCATTTTCCGGGAGTCAAGTTGTCAACGATCTCCTGAACGCTCTTCTCCTCATTGAGGCCCAAAGTGGCAAACAGGCAATGCAAAAGGCACGCTACGACAGGGACCGACCAACTGTTCCCTAACAAGGTCAACCGACAATCACTCCCCCGGGTGGTCCCGGCTTCGGCCTTGGGAAGACACTTGGCCGTGTACTGGACAGGGAAACCCAGAATCGCCTCTCGTTCAACTATGGAGGGAACACGCACCACGCCTTGGGAGTTGACCACGGAGTTCTCCCATCGGTATTGGTATGGCGGAAACCGATGTTGGTCGGCACGCCATCGTGCTACTGCCTCAGGAGGACACAACGCTAGTCCCGCGGGTTTCCGTCCCGGCTTAGTGGCCGGCCGTGAGGTGGTGAAGGTAGGAAACCCCCCTTTAGCTGTAGTTTTCCAGCCTGGCTCCAAGAAGTCCCGCTCATCAACCACCGCTTCAAGCCGCAAAGTTCCCGCCAAAGGCAACCGATGAGGATCTTCACGACAGATGCAGGCTCCTTTGAGAGCCCTGGGCTCCCAGTTGAACCAGTACAACCGGGGGCGCCGACACAGTGACAACTCGGAGGAGTCTACAAGCCACGGGGTCATGTCATAAGCCTGGGACATCACCTTGCAATCCTCGGCATCCATGGAGGCTACATTCTCAATGAGAGTGAACACTGGACACCATGTGAAGAACCTTTTCAGAAGGCCCTCAATCCGTGGGACATGAGCGAATAGGCAGGATCGCACATCACGCAATGCACCCCTTCGATCCGAGTTTAGCCCTGACACTCCCTGACATGGGGGTCCAGCGCCGAGGAGGACCGCACATACACTGGGGAATCTCAGACACCAACTACTGACCTCGTGCTCATCAATGCTCTGTACGTCCTCAAGGGCCACAACCTCGGGGAACCAACTTTCCACTACTCGTCGGGCTTCTGAGCAAATTTCCGCAGCAACATAACCAGCAACCGGCACCTGAAGCGAGTCAACGGCGATTCGAAGAGCTCCAATCCCATCGAAAAGGGATACAACCAAGATGGCGCCCACCTCATCCTGGGAGATCACATCTCCCCTACAACTTGCCAGGCTTGCTGCGACCCCATAGGGACTAACACTTCGCGACACACACAAACCTCCCCCTGTAGTGGAGGCATCGCTCGCGGTCACCTTCTCCGAGACCGGGGTGCGAAAGTCCATGTACGCCAAAGGAGTCAAAGCAACAAAGCGCAAGATCTCATGCTCTACCTCCGGTCCCAGGCTCGCCCGTTGAGTGGGCTTTAGCCCCTCCAACTCAACCACACGTTTCCAAATGGCATTCAGCCCCGACAGAAGAGGGCGCCTAAACATAGCAATGTACACGAAGCCTCCTCCAATCACCTGGAGCTCCCTTTGGGAAGCCTTCCCTTGGACCACGGCCTCACAAGCCAGCCTCACATACCTCATCACCTCTTCGGGCTTCGGGCTGGCTCTGCCTAGTTCACCATCGACCCAAGCTCCCTGTACCTCTGCCTTGACTGCCTGTGTCACTGCTTTCTTGGGGTGCCGTGGAAGTCCAAGCGTCTCATAAGTTTGCCTGACTGCCAACGTCCATGCTGAGGGGGTGCCTGAAAGTATTCCGGCCAGAGTCCTATCCACCTTTTTTAGCTCATCGTAGTTGTCAAGGTAGACCCTAAAGAGGTGTGGCGCACAGCTGGGTGGCCGATCTCGCCTGATCTCCTGGTGTCCGGACGCCAACCTTGCATCGCCTTTCAAAGCCTGGTTGATCACCCTCCTGTGTACGTGCTGAGCTATAGCAACAGAGTTTATGAACCCCATGGGCAACACCTGCGTCGCCAAATGCCACCCTGTTCCTTCATAGCCCTTTGGGAGAGCCTCTGAGGGGACCTCCCGTCCAAACCCCATGTATTTCCACCAGCTGGCTGGAGTCCGGAAAAGGTAAAAGAAGCAACGTATGTCTTCCGAAGAGGTCACCAACAACTGATTGTCATCAAGTACAACAGAGCTCATTCCTACCACACTTGGTAGCGTAGAGGTGTCCCCCACTAGGCTTCGGCAGCAACCGTTGGTGGGTACTAGGTTCATGATTAATCTACACACTTCAAACTCATTTCCCAGCGAGTCAACGGCCTGCTCCTGCTTGCTAACAGCAAACAGTCCGTTCATCAAAGGACGGTCACCAACATGGTGCAGCTCACTAACATGCATGAGTCGACACACACCCCTCCTCAACAGTCCCGTGCACACTTCGGCCCAGTGGCTGGCCTCGACCATAATGCTTGGCGTCTTTCCCAAGTGCTGATCCTGGGGCGGCAAAAGGAAATCTTCGAAATGCTGGACATAAGCCAACGTTCCCCCTCGCAGAATTCCTCGAGACAAAGACTGCCTACCGCCTCCGGAAATGCGGCCTCAATCATCCTCCAATCGAAGCGACGAGCGACTTGAACAATCTCTCCGGAGTAGTCTACTGAGCGGCTTTTGAAGAAGTCCCCAAATCCAATATCAGGCACCTCACGACCTCCTAGCTCTGCCTCATCAACCACCTTCTTCAACCTTTCAACCAATTTCAATCTAGTGCTATCCTCTCTGTTCCTCTTGATAGTCCTGGTCCCGTACAACGAATTCAACGCTTGCACCAATGCATCTGCACAAAACAATGGGGAACCCGAGGTCTCCAGAGTTGAAGGTAGGGGCAAGGGGAACAAGTCCCCCTTGGCCTCGCTGCAACGCGCATACGTTTGCTCCTGAACCTTCAACGCCTCTAGAAGCACCTCCCCAAGCTCCTCAAAACGCAACTCCTTTTTTTGACATGTCGTGGCAAGGTAGTGACGACACTCCTCAAATGCTTGCCGCCTGCTTGCTTCCAACAACGTCCGTCTCAACCCGCTCACCGGCGGGGAGGTATCAGCCATTGGAGCAGCTCCTCCTTCAACACGCCCAGACATCTCTCCACAACGTCCAGAGTGCTGGGAGTCCTGCTCCCTTAGAACTTCAACTGCAGACCCACCAATGTCATCGGCACGCCCTCTCAATGCCTCACGACACTGGGAGTCCACACTCCCTTCAAAATCTCCTCTCCCCAACTTGTCACGCTCAGCCCTCATTTGATAGCCCATCGTCGCACTCTCATCCAACAGCCTCTCTATCGCACCATCCTCACTTGCGCCCAATGTATCAACCAATGCACCTTCTCTCAATGCTGCCTCCTCTCCAGACCTTTTTGCACTCTCACTTGGATCGTCTCTCAACCCTCCTTTGGAGTCCCTCTTTCGGCTTTTGCTACTCATTTTTTCTTTTGCCCTTTCCCTTCTCTCTCTTGCCTTTTTCGCCCTTTCCTTTCTCTCCTCCGGAGGGATAACGATCCTTTCCTTTCCCAGCTCCTTCTCCCTTCTCGCGGCCGCCTGATCCACTGCCTGACCCATATGGTCTTTGAGAAGCCAATCGATCTCGAAGTTCTTCTCTTGCCAGCTTTGCTGCCTCCTGCCCTTCCGGGCCTTTGCTTAGACCAGCCGAGTCAGCACTGACAAGTTCTAACTGTCTTGCAACCGTCCAGTGCCCGCCTCGAATCTGCTGATCGAGAGCCTTAACTCTCTGGGCCAACAGGTCCAAAGCCCGAGCCGGGTGACCACGAAGAAGCAGATCGGCCCCCTGCGACAACGTGAGAAGCTCCTGGCTCATCGATGGCGAACAAAGCGGCTGCATCTCCAGCCTAAAATATTGCGAGAAGATCGGTGGTAGGCTCTTCCGATCCTGTGAATACAGGCTACCAGACTGGGTGAGCAGGGAATCTTTCATGTTGGCCACTGTTTGCGCTGCCAAACTCCCCGGATATCGCTGCGTCAACCGAAGGGCTCGCTTGCGCTCCTCGAAGAGCCCCTCTCCAAACTCCTCAGCCTCCGACTCGCTTGAAGAGCTCGAACTATCGGTGCCCTCGCTCGAAGAATGCTTCCTCTTCCTGGATCCCTTTGCACCACAGCGTCTCGCCTTCTTCAGCAGCTTACTGCGGGCCTCGGCGATGGGGTCCAGGCAAGTCCCTTCGTACAATGCCGACAGCGACTTCTGCCCTCGCTCAAGCACTGCAATGCCTTCCTCCTCCTTGGCTTCTCGCTTCCGAGATCGTTCCTTCTTGTCCTTGTGCTTCCTTTTCTTCTTCTTGTCCCTGGCCTTCTCTCCACCTGCTTCACTGGGAGAACCTTTCTCCCCTACCACTTTCTCACGCCTCTCCTCATGCAACGCCCTCAAACGCGACAGCTCATCATGCTCCTCTGGCTTCAACGACTTCTCCTCCAGCAATGTATGCCATGGCAACTTGTCGTCTCCAACAATCCAATAGCCTGAAGCATGAAGGATGTCTTCACCTGTTGGCTGCCACGAGCAATCTTTCTGGCAGATGTGAAGCTGCATAGTACGCTTGGCCGGATCTCCAAACATGTCCAAGAGTCCGTCTGCGTACCTGACACACGAAACTCCAGGAAATCTTCGTCTTGTCCCAGGCCAACGATGCGCCCTGCGACCTTCACATGCCCCTCATAGTATCTGGCGTCTCCTAGCTCGATCAGGCCCAGGCACCGGAGCTGTGCTGCAGCCAACTCCCGCAAGTAATGGAACTCACTCACGGGCAGGTCGTCGGTCTTCGCGGCAGGCTTTCTTCGGATGGCCGGAGATCTGGTCGCCGGCCTGGCTCTCACCTTCGGCGCCATTGCCGATCGTGGAGTTCCTGCTTGGCGCGGCGAGTGATCCCTTTATTTTTTCCCACATACCACCTTGGGTGGTTGGACCAGGGGATTGCTCCAATCCACCCCCTCTGCTGGGCCGGTGGTGGCAATGGAGGCGGTGCTGGAGGAGGGGGTGGTCCCGGTGGTGTGTGGGGACTTCTGGGCCGAGGAGGGGTTGCCGGTCTGGTCTTCCTCTCCTTCTTCTTGTTCTCCCTCACTCTTGAACCGGACACTGATGAAGAGCGGCTCGAAGTCCTTCTCCTCCTCCGACGCCTCTCCTTCTCTCCCTCCTGGCTTCTTCTTCGCCTTCTTGACCTCTTCCTTTCCGAGCGGCTGGGAGTCTTACTGCCTGACTCCCTTCTCTTAGCCTTCTTTGCCGCTTCCTTTTTCTCCGGGTCGGCTGCGCTGGTCTCTCCTGTCCGCTCGGCTGTTGGCTTGCTAGACGGAGATGGCTTGACCTTTGGGGCCAGGTTCACCGCTTGGGGATCACTGCGCACGGCCTCCTCCTGCTCTCTCTTGCTGGGTCTTGGTGCTCTTGTCTGGGAGTTCTCAACCAGTGCAACACTCCCGTGGGTTGGCCCTGGTACTGGAACGGGGGGTGCCCTGGGCGGAGGTAGCACCCTGCTGGACACTGATGGGCGGCTGGCTGAGGAACGGGCAGGCTCTGGTGCTGGTTCTGGGGCTGACTGGGCTGTCTTTGAAGCGGATGCGGGGCTGGCTTGATGGTCTGTCTCTTCAGGGGCTTATCCTCACTTCGTCTCCTCTTCTTCTCTTTGGATCTTCCTCGGGGCTTCTTCTCTTCCTTCTTCTCGAGGTTCTTAACTTCCCCGATCCAATCCTCCAGAAGGCCGAAGCAGCCTTCCAGGTACACGACCGCCGCCTCGTCGTCCTCCGGCTTCACAACCGACCTCAACGACACAAGCAGCTGGTAGCCTTTCCGGCAAGGCCCACAGGTCTGTAGCCCGCTCTCACGGACTACGAAATGCCGGCAGCGGTCGCAGACTGGGAGGGGGGTGTCACCCCCTCCCATCCAAAAAGCCTTCTTAAGCCCCAATGCTACGGTGAAAAACGTGACCCGCTCTGTGATTAATCATGGGGACAAAAGATCATATATATATTTACAGTATCCCTCTCTAACTCTCTCTCTCTCTCTCTCACAGTCTCACACACTCACTCTCTCTCCCTCTTTTTCGTTTGGCCATGATGCAAGCTCTCGAATTCACAGTCTCATGGCACATGGGATGCGCAGCATTGGAGCTGTTTGTCAAGTGGCTTCGTCGAGCCCTGCTGTCTTCCATCGCTTTAATGCTGGTCATGTCAATTCTTGGGTGCAAGGCTGTTCTTGTGCAGGTTGCATGCTCACTTGATATGAGACTGTCTAGGGGTTGTGTGACGTTGTGTGAGTGGTTTTTTCATTCAGCAATGCTGGAGTAATGTTAGAACACTTTCAGCAATGCCGTCCGCAAGTATCAAGTGAGACTCTCGAGCGCTCAATGTGGTCTGTACGGCACCCATTCACCTGGCAATCGTCTCCTTGTCATCAACTCCGTCGGTCAACGAGAACGCTTTCATCTTTCTTTTGACCTTCAGACCTTTCTTGCTGCAATTCTCTTGGTTTTCTTTCGTTTCTTTTCTCGTACGTCCTGGCATCTTCAACAAAATGCCGTGGCAAAATGCGATGCCTCCACATATCTACTCATAGTAGCAACCGAAGACCATGCCTCAGTGATAAAGCTCTGTTTCCCCAATCTCAAGAAACTGGGGACTATGGCGACTATCTCGAAGCACTCCACCATGTTCCACTATCAAGTCAGCAACGTAGGACAAAACATCAAGCTGCTCCGACGCTCTGCCGCTCCTTGCTGAGCCTTGCTAAGTTGAGAGCCTACGGCAAAAAGCGACTGGTTTTGGAAGGTGTAGGAGGCCCAGTTGTCGGAGTTCACCTGTTCTCGAATCATGGGGACATGCACATCACATCCTGTGCAAAATTGCCTTCTAAACATTCCACAATCTACCAAGCTTTCAGGATCTTTCAGGCGCGTCGCGGCACGTCTCCGGTCATATCTCACAAAAACATGTCAGTAGGACATCCCAAAGGCACTTCGAAGCCACACGAATGCCCTGGCACAAAAAAGGTCAGATCCAGCCTGACGCCTTTTGGAACTTCCACAGGTCCCTATCAGACCAGATCCGAAGATCACCCGCCTGGGACGCCTGTTCTCCGATAATCACCTGGACGAGCGGACGCCATCATTTTTGTGAGTTTCCAACGGTGAATAACAGGACTCACACCCAACGCAAGGCTACCTATCTGACCTGTACTAGTAACAAGTGCCACGCTAGTAGTAACAGGTGCCACGCTACTAGTAACAAGAAGCTACAAAAATGATCATCACCTGCTTAGCTATCTGACCTGCTATTTCAGCGATGTCTCTTCGATGCCACTCACAGCCTGCACGATGATCTTGTAGCGAGGGATGTTCAAATCCGTCTTCATGGAGTTCTGCCAGCAAAGGAAAGCTCTATTGCAAGTCGGTCTCCAAACCAACGGCCACGCGCTTTGTCGCTGATATACTCTTTCGGAAGCAAGTGGGTTGGATAGTGTGGATAGGCTGGATGAATTTACTGGATGTCCTAGGTTAGGTGCATGCTGTTTGACTTGAAATGATCTTGCAATCGTGGACGCCTTTCAAGGTCTGAGGTGGCCTACAAACAGGGTTTATGACCTTCAACATGTGATCAGAATTCTGTGTCCATGACATCCTATGATGGTTGTTCATGTTCCACCTTGATCTCGTTGCTCATCTCCAGTGTCCAAGCTTTGGCATCTTCTGCCACGTATTCCTTGTCCTGGCACAAAGACGGTTGTATGTTGAAGGATTGCAGCAAACAAGGTCTGGAAGAACTACATCTTATCTGTTTGGATTGGATGCTTACAACCCTCATTCACAACTACTTCATGACATCTCATTTGCATAGAGTCTGTTTATGTCTGTTTGGCCTGCAGGTAGCTATCCATCACGTTCTTGATGACCGCAGTGACCTTTGAAGGCAGCATCTTTTCATTGTCCTTCGCAGGGCACAGCTCGTTTCCCCAACGTTGACACAACCTCTCTGGTGAGATTGTCGCTGGCGTCTAGGCTCGTCTGTTTTTCCACGCAGACGAAAGCCAGCTTTGATCGATCCCTGGATGCCCTGGATCCCATCTCCTTGGGAGCCATGATGTAGGTGTTCTCCCAGACATGGACTTGATGTTGATCGCCCATGGCCTACGTCGGTTTGACCATCTGGGGGCGAGAAGCATGGCCGGTTTGAGGATGCACAGTCCTTCGGTGGTGTGAGTTTTAGGGCTCATGTGCGAAGTGGCCAAGCCAAACCATATTACTAGAGTTACTAGTTACATAGGGACAGGCCAAACCAGCATCTTTGGATATATTCTAGTTTGGGACCCCGGATGTCTTGGCCCTTGGATGCTTGCAGCCCAGCGGCTCCAACACTGTGCAGTTCAAGTGGCGCAGCCGCTCAGAACCCCGTTACTTTGAGCAAATATGCCTGCAAACGCCCAAACTCTTTTTTACTTCACAGCCTAGTAACTACTACATAATACTATCGACATCCAAGCCTCGTTTCATGAAACCTTCAAAGCAATGTGGGGCTGTGGTATCAGCGGAAGGTTGCCTGTAAGCTTATACGTACAAAGAAAGTGTCTCTCATATAGATCAGCTGAAAAACATGAAGAGCAGTGTTTCCTGTGGATGTTTTCTTTGATTGACTCGCTGAAGAAGGCATCATGAAGACCTTGCCCTGCCTGTTCAACACGGGACATGCTTTTCATGAATTGATTCATGTATTGAAACATCAATCCGCCAATCACATCATCCACTCCCTGGAACAACATGGGCCCAGTTGCTTTGACCATCTGTTCCACCAGGCGTCGCACACGAGGTTTGGAGCTTCCTTCTGTCTGGTTCTCTGGACTCATCTGGACTCGCTCTTTTTCTCTCTCAGCCGCTGGTGCACACATCTTCCCGTGGCCGAGTTGTGAGAAAGTCTCCAAAGCCAGACTTGCACGGAGACTGAACGACGACCGAGCACACTGAGGCTCCGACCAGTGACAGTGAGGAGCACACTGAGCACACAGGCTGTTCTCGTCCTTTATCTCCTCAGCCTTTTGCCGGGGAGAAGCTGTGTTCTCAACTCCTGACGGCCACAGGGCGGCCAAACTGCGTCCTTGCTACTAGTAGCAATGGCCTCCAACCTACTTGAGCACAAAAGCACACAATTAACAACGCCAGAAAAGAAGAGACATCAAAAGCATCCCTAGCCAACAATGCTCAATCAATAGCTTGGTGGCATTTTCTTTTACAATTCACAATCCATGTTAAACAATTGTTTCACCCCTTTCTCTTTCCTTTCTCTCTTCGTCCCGTTTCGCTGTCCTCGAAACTGATGGACTCCTGATCGCCGAAAAGCTGGCTGATTGCCGCCTCCTTGGAAACAGGCAATTGCATCGACCGCTATTAGATTGGAGGCCATCGCTGCTAGGGTGGAGGCCATCGCTATTAGGTTCCTCTTGCTACTTGTTATTTTTTGCATGAAACACATGCAAAGCGGCCCAAGCGGCCATTGCAAAACGTCACCCGCGTAACTGGCGATGCATCATAGATTGAATGTGTTCAAGGGGGCCAAACAAACAACACATCTTCAAGCAGAAGAACCGGTATCACTTGCGGGCTGTGCCACTGGCCTGACAATCTCAATCCTTTCTGACACATCAGATTTTTCCCTCCCACAGTGGGGAGACCTAAAGTGTGTCTTCCTGAGCATATCACCGGGCTCTGCTGTACAGAACGGTTGGCTAAAGGCAGAACCTGCGTGCTAAAGCTTGGCGTGTTTCGCACATTGATCATAACAAAAAGAAGCAACAACAGGTGGCTAACCAGCAATGAGGTGATCAGTTTTCATGGTTTTGGTCCATGGTTTGGATTTGATCTCCAAAATCTTGGTCTGATGGCACCTTCTCCACAAACTTCTCGAGCTCTGCCCGGCTCAACCTGAGGGGTTCTTTGTTCGATAAAGACCCTTGAAAGGGTGGGCATGTCACCCGTCAAAGTCGCTCCAAACTTTGAAAGCAAACTGCGCATCGAGGCATTCATACAATTTTAGGGAACGTGTAAGACAGGTGTGGGACATTCTTAGAGCCTTGCATGCCATCAGAGTCCAAGTCATACCTTCGGAAGAGTTCTAAAAACCGCTCCTGACAAGTGCAAAAAAAGAGCAGTGATCCAAACCGCCAGAGATCATGCACCCAATCTTCGTGCTTCACGTCCCACATGCAATAACATTTGTGTGTTGGTGTTGATGGCGCATCTGGAGAATTCGGTTGGTCGTCTCTCCCAAAGTCCTCCAAGAGCTCTGTAAAGACTCTCCTTGGCCCATAGTGAGCGGCAGAGTCGGAGATGAGTCAAGTTCTGTTGCATGAAATAGCTTAGAATTGAGCAAGTAAGCCACTGCACCTCGTCAAGTCTGAGGACGGCGCAGGACTCCTGCTGCAAACTCGCTGAAGCTCAAATCACCATCTCCGTTGATGTCAAGCCTCAAGAAAACCAATTACATCAACACCGGTCAGGCACGCCTCAAGGGTGGATCGCGTTTCCAATCGGGACTCATCATTTCTGGTTCGTTTCTAGATCTGTCCCTTTTCTTCGACTTCTTTCTTGCTCTACCGACTCTACCCCTTTCTGGCGTTTGATCGAATGGTTCTGTTTTCTCGACGAATCGTGGCTGTCGGAGACGAATCTGTCTGGGAGGCAGCCACCCACAGCAGCCACCCCCACCTCTCCAAGACAAAAAGTCCCAGTCCAACTCTCAAAGCGAATTCTCAAGCATGTGGCTGGAGGCCATCGCAAATGGGTTGGAGGCCACCCCTGTTGGGGTATGGTCCGTTAATGTCATGTTTCCAAAAGAGAAGTCAGTGCTGTGGTGGCCGTGGTGGCCATGGCGGCCATGCCCCAAAACACTTTGAAGCTCTGCTGTGGGGTCCCCAAGTTGGCGAGACCCTTGGCAAGCGGGGCCACAAGAGACTCATTAGAACAACACATGAAGCTCTCCGCCGTCGTTGCGATGCCAGAAATCTTTGACGTCAGAAAGTCCTAGAAAATCTCTCAGTCACAACACCTGTCGAACGGCAGTAAAAACAAGAAGCTATTAGGAACAAGTGCATCGCTTCTAGTAACAAGTGCCTTACTAGTAGTAACAAGGACGCTAGTAGTAACAAGTGCATCGCTACTACAAACCTTTTTGACTCCTGACCTTTGGCGGGTGATCCGGCAGTCCACTAGACATGAGCAGTCTTCATTACAAGGCTGGACGCTCTGTTCAAAGCGACCTGCAGCCTCTGCATGTTAAAGCAATCGAGACAAAAGCAATAGTAGCAAGGACGCTACTAGGTGGAGGCCATCGCTATTAGGTTGGAGGCCATCGCTACTAGGAACAAGAAGCTACTAGTACGGTCTCAAAAATGGGGCTTGTTGACCTTGCTTTTAAACCGAACGCTGATAGCGATGGCCACCCACCTAATGCGAGGTTGTAAACCTTGAGATGCACCAAGCGCACCTCCTCATCCTTGGAAGTTCCCGCCAATTCCAAGAAAGAACTTCCCGCTACTGACTGCGTTGTCGAGGTGGCGATGCTGATCGTATGCCTCCGGGATCTCCACTCCCAGGAAACCTGCCAAATCTCTGACGTAGACTTGGCAGTTGTGATGGAGAATGTGGTAGGTGGGATGCATCTTCAGCCAGTCATAGTTGAATTGTTGGATCTCTTGCTTGGTGCGGTTGGTGTAGCCAATGCGCTGTTGCGTCTCCGCACCAATCTCGGACTTGACTGCTTCATCTTCCCCTCTGAAATGGGAAGAGCCATCTAAACTGATTTGTGGATTCATATGGATTTTCAATTGGATTGCCTTGTGGTAAATTTCAACATCGCTGGGTGAGTCAGCAGTTGACGTGATAACCCTACAGGCCCGACCTGCAACCTCATACCAGCAGTCTCCAACGTGCAAAGCCCAATGGTTGGCGATCCCAAAGACGGAGGCGTCCAGCTCCTTCTTTGTTACTACCAGTAACACGTGCCTTACTACTAGCAACAATAAGCTATTAATTAGAATTGTATTTAATAGCTTCTTGTTACTACTAGTAAGGCACCTGTTACTACTAGCTTGGCACTTGTTACTACTAGCGATGCACTTGTTTCTAATAGCGTCCAGCTCCTTCTTTGTTTCTAGCAAAATTGTTACTACTAGTAAGGCCAGGAGCCCCTAGTAGCTTCTTGCTCCTAGTAGTAAGGCACTTGCTTCTAATAGCTTCTTGTTACTACTAGTAAGGCACTTGTTACTACTAGCGTGGCACTTGTTACTACTAGCGATGCATTTGTTTCTAATAGCGTCCAGCTCCTTCTTGCCGAAGAAGACTTTCGTGGAGGCCATGACAAGTTTATGACTATGGCGGATGGCGCCACAGGAAATTGTTGGATTTTCGAGTTGAAAGAATTCAGGTTGGATCAAATCACTTCTGCCTTAAAACTGACGAATAGAGCAACCTTCAAAGTAGAGGGAATAGATGTAACAATTTATATACATGGCGATTCTGAGTCTCGGGTCTTCACATTTAGTGAGCAGGGTCTTTGAAAACCCTCAGGTTGCTTATCTCAACTTGTTGGGGCTGCACTGTTATGGCGATCTGATTTGGTTTGGTGACAAACTCAGCTGGCGTGTTTTGAAGATCGTGAGACAGTTGAGTTGCACCAACTGAGCACAAATGGTGCACAATTTTTTCCATCAAGGAGTCAAGGAGCTCCTCAAAAGGCTGTAAGCATGTGTAAGCTTCCAATGAGTCAATAGAGAGTAATGGCCGGGCCTCCAACCTAAGAGCGATGGCCTCCAACCAAAATAGTGTAAGCTTCCATTTAGTCAATAGTTTACAGAACAAGGCTCGCTGTTGTGCAAGTAAGACTGAGTTTTGCACGCTTGAAAGGCCCGTGTTTGCAAGGATTTGTCCTGCCCAAACTTCAACATGGATAGCCCGCCCTCTGATTTCAGCCAACATCTAAAAGGAAAGCTCCTAAACAAAGGGGTGTCGGCCTTTTGGTTTCTGGTTGGTCGTTGGTCTCCTGACTTAGGCTCTACTTGCAGCTTGCAAATTCCCTCTCCTTGAGCCCCATCTTGGCAAAAAGTCTTTGCAGCTCCTGGACGGGCGAAGACAAAACATGCAAAGTCACCGCGTGCCTCCAACTCTCAACCGAATGGCGCGATGGCCGACAAAAACGCCGTCTCGCCTCCAAGGAGATGCCACCATTGTGGTCTTCATCGAACCGCTCGAATGCCTGCAAACTCTTGGAGCTGTCCGTTCTTTTGGAAAAAGATGTGCCAACCGTTGTCTGGGGGGGGGTAGGAAGCTACTAGTAACAAGTGCATCGCTACTAGTAACAATAAGAAATTAATTGGAATTGTAATTACTAGCAAAGAAATCTACTAGGACCTTTTTCCGTTTTTTTGGAAAGAGATGTGCCAACCGTTCTCCTCACATTTCTTCACTACTAGCTTCTTGTTACTACTAGTAACAAGTGCCACGCTAGTAGTAACAAGTGCCTTACTAGTAGTAACAAACAGCTATTAGAATTAAAATTTTTCATTTCATGATTGTCTTGCAGCGGAGGTTTGGCCCTGAGCGTGTTCTTTAGCGAGCAAAGAGACCACGAGTTCACCAAGGGTGAAATGACGAACCAGGCGCCAGTTCTTCAAGGACAACGCGGGTTCTGACCCTTCAACAAAGACATGCAAAACGAGCCCAAAAGGGAAGAGCTCTGGCACCGCCGCGGCACCTTGGCGATGCGCTCTGCCCGCTCAATGGGGAGTTTCGAAGCCACCTCCATGATCACGGCCTCGTTCGTGGGCGGCACCAACTCAAGCTGAGCCGAAGGGCTTCAAAGAGCTTGACATTAATTCCTAGCAAGTTTGCCACTATGTTAGAGGCCATCGCTAGTACAGTAGGTTGGATGCCATCGCCACTAGCTTGAAGCCGCTCTTAGGTTGGAGGCCATTGCGAGGTTATTGCTTGAAGGAGGTTGAAGGGATGCCGCTGGGACGTTCTCCTTGTTGGGTCCTTACTTGGCATTCGACAAAGTGAGAATGGGGGAACGCTGATGGCTTGATGAAAAGACACTCGCTCAGCGGCCACCTGTTTTCCACATGTTTCAATCAAACATGTTCATGGCAGAGCTTGTGCTGCGTCTCTTTTCTTACTACAGAGATGGTGCCAATGTGGCAGAAAACTTGCAGCCGCTGCTGCTGGCCAGCCGGGGTGACAAAACATCCTGAAGCTCTTTGTTCGGATCAGGAGCTGACGCAGCTGACACGAAGAAAAGGGCGGATTTGATGTGATCCTATGTGATGCATGCTTTTCCATGGTGTCTCACATGGTGTCTCTCATCCTGGACCTCGAAATCTCGACATTCACAGCTCCCGATGGACCTCGAACGAGTTGGCTCACCGGGCTTTCGCCACTTTTACCACTTTCGCCCTTGCTGGTGTCTCCTCCTCATCGGGAAGTTGCACCACCTGACCCAATGCCCAGCTCAAGCATGGTGAGCTTTCAAAACTCGGCGAACAGTCTCTTAAAATACGTCACGTCACCGACAGGCTTCCGCTACTCTCAATGCGGCATGAATGAGCTCTGCATGGCAAGCCGCTAGTGTGCTCACTTAGCTACGCCAATCACCTTTGAGCTCTTCATAGGTTGGAGCCCCTAGCTGGCATCGCTACTAGGAGCAAGGACGCTATTAGTTCTGCATCCTCCTGGACTATATGAACCTTTGAGTTCTTCACAGTTCCATCAATCGTGCCTCCCGGAGGTCTACCAGGTCTGAAGAGATGACATGTGACACACATGGTAGCAAACGAAAGTTGTTCTTATTGAGTTTGTGCTTAACCTAGTGGCGATGGCCTCCAACCTAAGAGTGGTTACATTTTCTTATTTGCTTTTCTGGTTCCTCACTCCAAACCTATTCACTTGGAGTGTATCAATGAAGAATCCGAGTCGGTGCGCGGCGCCTGTGGTTGGCATGCCAAGGAAAAGGCGGCTATCAGCAAATGCAAGGCTGACAGCCTGACCAGCAGAGCCCCATGATTGCATTCAATGATCATGGCAAAACAAACTAGGACATCTTCACAGGTTGCAAATTCCAATGGTATTTACATGCATTCTGCATGTTGACGAACCAAAGCCAGAACCATCAACGCACCGAAATCGGGAACAGTTCTCTGAGCGTCTCAGCATGGCACAGCACGCCTCACAAGCCACTCGCTACTGACCTCGAAGCTATTGTGGATGTCCAAGCGCCTGGCGAACAGGGGGGGGACGGGGATGGAACGGAGCCAATGTGCACGCTGTGCACGGTGCATATAGATGTAACAATGGACGGCTTCTAGCCCAATAACCTCCTGTAGGCCCGGCGAAAGTATCCAAAGACTGACATCACTAAGTGCACCTCAAAACCCGTGGCACCGGTTGCATCTGTTATGAACTGCTTGCAGTGCCCTGGACCGCCGCACGCTTCGAGGGCATAGTATGACATCCTTTTGTTTCGCACACGCACGAATTGAGCAAGGACGCTCTGGGAAACACCCCTTGCTGCCACAAAGCCTTCTGTGCGACCGATTGTAAGGCAAATGGCCTCCAACCTACTAGCAATGGCCTCCAACAATGACCGATTCCTGTTCTTTTTTGTGGAGCTTCTTTTTTCCTACTAGTAAGGCCAGGAGCGCCCCTAGTAGCATCCTTGCTCCTAGTAGCGATGCCCTTTGCTCCTAGTAGCGTTCTTGCTCCTAGTAGTACGGCCAGGAGCCCCTAGTAGCGTTCTTGCTCCCTAGTTCTTTCCCATCCTCTCTCTCCACCTCTCGGGTTCGAGCCAACCAGCCTGAGGACTTCATTGCCTGAAGCCACCAATGCCAGGCCGCCCATGCGTGGTGCATCCGCCGCGCTTCGTGCCAGGTCCTTGGAGGCCAGTGCTACTAAAGCTGCTCTAGTAACAAGAAGCTACTAGGCCATCGGAAGTAGGTTGGAGGCCATTGCTATCATAGTCGATTTTCTCAAGAACTGAAAGACTGGATGTTGCGATGGAATATGACTGGACATGGGCCGCGTGATGGCACAGGGGCATGGCACAGTGCATGTGACGTGGCAATGAGCAATGTGTTCCCTTTTTGATGTATTTTCGCGCAGGCCCTCTTGGCCATCTCCAACAGCCTGCAGCGCAGAACGCACTGAAGCACGTGTTCAAAGGATTGGGGAGAAGAGTTGTGCCTTCGCTGCTTGAGCTATCTTTGGGGTCTTGACGGTCTGGGATTTTTTCTGCATTCCCGGGGAGGGAAGTTGCAGCTTGGCACATGCAAAGCAAGCGGGTGATCCAAGGAGCTTGGCGTTGCCAATTCGACAAGCAATCCAAGTCCTCATTAAACACGAGGCTCTACGGGCTCTACAACTGTACCTGAGCCACGCTTGCTGGCTGTGCAGGTCAGGAAGAAGCCGCCTGACATGCATAGATTCTCCGGAAGCAAAAGGACATGTTCATATCTATTCGATAGCACTTTGTTCCTGCTCGTTCTATCCATCGATTTGGGAAGCAACCTCCAGTGAGCTTCCTGTGAATCAAGCTTGTGATCTCTAGGCACATGCAGTCGGTCGAATATTTTGACCGAAGATCTGTGGACTGTAGCCACTTGAATTTCATCAACAGCCGTGAACCAGGCGGGCATGGCCTCCCCTTGGCAGACCGGCTCTGCCCCCCTGGCGACTCTGGCCTTCTGAGGCTGGATGAAGGATCACTTGATCCAGGCTTTATAGAGTTCAGGTTCCTCTCTTGGTTCAAGTGCTTGTACCAACTACACAACTTGAACAGCAGGCCAATGGCTTGGCACTTTTAAAAAATGTGGGTTCTTGGTTTGCATTGCCTCACAAGTGTTACTTATCAACGAACATGTCGTGTTTTTTTGCTGCACTGCTCAGTCAAAAGAAGTCGCATGGGATATCCCTACTAGCGATGGCCTGATGGCCTCTAAAGCAAAACTCTACAGGGCAGCCCGGGTGGTGTTTTTTCGAAGCCCGGCTTTGACGTTTCGTCAGACCTCCTGGGACGTCTCCGTGGCCCCGGAGGCGTCCGTGGAGGCATCGCTGTCCGAGATCTCCTTCTTGACGCTGGGCGCATGCCAAACGACCCAAACAGCCAGGATCACCAGGATCACGTGCATGACGATGATGGTCAAGAAGGGTGAAGCCTGCGTTTGTCGTTTATCGTTTCCAGAAGGGTGAGCAGCTCTGCAGCTCACTCGCAGGCGGAAGATGAAAAAGAGAACAAACCACACTTCTCAAAAAATGTCTGAAGATGCTTGAAGTCTGAATTTTGGCATGCCAGCCTCACTGATCCTCTCGCCCCAGGATTCGTCTTCCTGTTTGGGGGTGACTTGCTTGGCAAGCTCCCGTGCAACGGACATGTGAGCTTTCACCCGAAGACTATAGTTCTGATTCAGTCTGGAACAAATCTTTGAGAGAAGGAAGCCAGTTTTGGTTGCAGGAAATCTGAACACCAGAAGGGATCTATTGGCCTCTTGGGGTATCTCTTGGAAATCCAACACGTCAAGAAACCAAGTCACTTCCAAAAGCTTCCTCTGGGTCCTATTCCCCTCACACCACCGGCGGTCCCGCATGAAGTAGACCACAGTGTTTCCCGCCGAGCCAATGACATCGAAGGCGGTCACCCCAAAGGAGTAACCTTCGATGGACATGCTGCTAATGAACTCATAGAACCTCAAACGCAGCCGAGCGCAGCAGAGCGTTCTGCTCGCAGCCGAGCAGCTCACAGTGTTCTGCTCACAGTGTCTTTTGTCAAATGATTCTTGATGGGTATCGGCGGTATCGGAGATCAAGTGGCATTGTTCTCTTCTCGAGTGACTGATGCTTGCAAAGGTCACATTCGGTCACACCGAAATCAACACCCAAACCTCCAAAAGAAAACCGACAGCCAAAGTTCGAGATCTTTCTTTGTTAACTTGGTTTTTGTATGTCCAGAGCTTCGGGTACCAAGGTGCTCGGGGAAGAAGCCCAGACCAATCAAAATGCTTGGCACCAGCTCCCCGAGAATGAAGTCCTCGGAAAAGAAAGAAAAAGACACCGAAAAGAAAGTCGGTATGACTGCTAGTACCTATTGCAAAAAGCACGAGTGACACAAAGAGAAACATGAAAAACCTCAATCGTGTAGATGAAGAAAGGTCTGGGTGTCTCAACCGCGAGCTACTAGTAACAAGAAGCTACTAGGGGCTGCTGGCATCGCTACTAGAAGCAAGGATGCTACTAGGGGCTCCTGGCCGTACTACTAGGAGCAAGTAGCTACTAGTAACAAGAAGCACAATGGCCATCACTGGCCACCGAGCTCCAGAGAGTTCGGTGTTACGGCGCGGCGTAACATGCGTGCGCTCGTTTCTCTCGCCTCCAATCCCCGGCATCGTTTCAGCACATCCTTTCCTAGAGATGTGGAAAAGTAAGCATTCTCCAGCAAGCAAAGGAATGTTCTCTGAAAACCAAGCCTAGGAGCGATGGCCTCCAACCTACTAGCCTACTAGCGATGGCCTCCTAGAGATGTGGGGTCTGGTTTCCTCTTTCGGAGGTGGGCCGCTCTGTCGAGCCACTCATCTCTTAGCCACGATTGACTCCGGCTGCGTGAGAACACAATACATGGGCTCTTTCAAGGCTTTGGGCAGCACCTGGCTATCATTTGGCCAGGGCCTGTCGCGGTTAGTGTTGATGTTTTCGAAAAACCATGCTGTTTGCAAGGATTCTTTGCCAGCTTGATGTGGCTTTGGCTGTTGTCGGTGGAAGCAACACCTCCAA